GAATAAAGAAAGATAGAGATGAGACAAAAACAATTTAAATATACCAGCTCCATGACACCAATGATATGTCCCAACCATTCTCCACTATGCCAAACTGAAGCACCTATGATCTGAAGTGGATATTTCTTGTTTCAACCAGATGAGAGAAGTGGTATATTCTTGCTACTATTTGACAAAGTAAAGCTATAACCATGACTCTTTAGTAACCTCCCATTTTTCATCAGTTCCCGTGCATATGCTGCCCTTTGCCATAAACCTGCCAATGCATATGTGTTAGCCAAGGCAACATAGTTGGCAGACTCCTTGGGTTTCAAACTAAATAAATTCTTCGCCGCTACTTCTCCAAGGTGCATATTTCCATACATGCTACAAGCCCCAAGAATTGATCCCCAAAGAGAGGCATTCGACTGAATACTCCCCAAACATATCAAACTATGGGCTTCCTCCAACCAACCGTCACGTGCCAAAAGGTCTACTATGCATGTATAATGCTCCAACCGCGGCAAAAGCTTATATTTGCCTACCATATTATGGAAGCATTCCCATCCTTGAGACATCAACCCAGAATGGCTACAAGCAGAGAAGAGGGATAAGAATGTAACATCATTTGGGTGAATTCCCTGTGATTCCATCTTCTTGTAAAGAGAAATTGCATGCTCCGCGTGGCCATGCATACCATATCCAGTTATCATTGACGTCCAAGAGATTATATTCTTCTCTTTCATGAGATCAAAAGTTTTCTTAGCATCCTCAATCTCACCTGTCTTTGAGTACATATCAATCAAAGAGTTCCCTAGGGCTACATCCTGACCACTTTGATATTTCAATGCAAGAGTATGCATCTGCCTTCCTAGATTCAGTAATGTTGAATTAGCGCACACGTTGAGCATTGAGCACAATATTACACTGTCAATTCCCAAGTGGCTTCGGTGTAACCCCAAGAAGATGTCCACACAGTGATCAACGCCTTTACCTTCACGAGCATAACCCGTAATTAATGCAGTGCATGATATGATATCTTTCTTCTTCATATTCTTATAAAGAAAATATGCACCAGCTAAATTTCCACACTTCACATAGGCATCAATTAAAGATCCACTTGAAACGTTGCTTGATTCAAAGCCTAGTTGAACAATGATACCATGTATACTGCTGACCATCATGAGTCTAGAAACACTATGATCTCCACATGCATTTCTCAGAACACTTCCAAAGGTGAAGCAATCGGGGGATAAACCTACATACAAGAAGAATCTCTATATAAGCGAAACAGAGAGGGCATAATATAAAAGCAGTCCTGTCATCTTGGGTAGTTCCTTGGGATAGATTTTCCGGCGTAATAACAGAAACATGAATATCAACTTAACCAAAAATGGTGAACACCAATGAATACCTTCCCTAAGCATCAGGCGGAACACAAAAAAGGCGTGATCCCAGAGCCCCTGAAAAGAATACCCACCAATCATTGAATTCCATGAAATCAAATCTCTCTCTAGCATTGAATTAAACACATGACGAGCATCCTCAATTTTCCCACACTTTGAATGAAAATCAAGCAATGCACTCTGCACAAACAAATTCCCAGCAAATCTGCTCTTCTGAATGCGCCCTTGTACTTGTGTCCCCCTTTCCAGACACAACAAACTGGTGCACGCCCTCAAAGCACTTGCATACGCAAACTGATTCCCCTTCAACCCCTTCCGGTGCATTGTTGCAAACACCCTCAGAGCTTCTCCTGAATTCACATTCTGGGAATACCCAGACAACAAGGCAGTCCAAGAAACCAAATTCCTTTGGGACATTCCATCAAACACCTTTTGAGCAACTTCCATGTCACCATACTTTGAGTAGAATATGATCAGCTTTGTGCCCAGATGTACGTTTGACGAGAACCCATTTGTTGTCAGATGGGCATGAACCATACGGCACTTGTTTTTGGCTTTTAGCTCGATGAACATATTCAGAAGTTTCGAGTACAGCGTGTAGCCAAACCCGATTGGGTCATGCGGGATGGCTTTCAGAAGCATCTAATTGCTGCAACGACATTCAATGGCCAATTTATAACTAGGGCTCTGTCCGAACCGGACCGGACCGAACCGGACCAAAGACCGAAACAAATGAAAAAGAAGACCGAAGACCACCGGACCTATTAGTTGTAGGGTTTAGACCGAACCGATCCGAAATTACCTGACCGAACCGATTAGGACCGAAAAGACCGAATTGAAAATGCAAAATTAAAAAGCTGGGAAACAAAATAGCCAAAACCGCCACTCAAATTCTGCAAATAACAATTAATAAAAATTGTTCAAAAGCAAGTTCTTTAAAAAAAAAAAACCAAGAGTAGGGTTTAGTGATCTGAATGCTACCATCATTAGAAATTTGCAATAGAGAATGTACTGAGCAGTAGCACTAACTAACCATTTGAAAACTAAAATTGAAAATTGAAAAAAATCACCTCTTAATGCAATTCAGATCTGCAGTTTTTGAACATAATATGTCGACATATATTAAGAAGAAGGTGTCAGACTTGAGTTGTTTCTGCTTCACTGCCGTCCGACATCCTTGGACCACAAGTAGCATGTTGATTGAACAAAGGAGATGCTCGATGTTTGATTTTGGATGAGGGAAGATGATGAAGAAATTTAATTAGGGGTGATTGGATCTACGCATACTGAGTTGAGAAAGGGGGTTGCGGAAAAAAATACTCCGTAATAAATTACGGATGATTTCAAGCACTTTGGCAAAGTACTACTGTTTGGGTCTTTTAGGTCTGGACCGAACTCATTTCGGGTCTAGACCGGACCGGACCGAAACCCGAACATTCAAAAATTGTGGACCGAAGACTGACCCGAAATCCATTCGGTCCGGGTTCGGTCTGGACCTAACGGTCCGGTCCGGTCGGCTTTTTCGGTCTAGACCGAAACTTGAACAGCCCTATTTATAACATAGCAAACAGATTTAAGAATATGTATAGTCGATTAGTCGTTTTATATAAAAAAAAAGGTATTGCTATTTGTACCCCAAAAATTCGTATTTCATTTTGTGTACACCGCAAAGATGCAACAACATTTTGTGTTGGTGTAATACTAATTTTTTTTAACGCACCAACACTTTGTGTCAGTGTAATTTTTTGTTAACGCACCAACACTTTGTGTCAGTGTGAGCCATCAAAATGTTGATGTATACTTTTAGTGTACAAATCAGATACAAATTTTAGGGTACATGTAACATGCTTCAAAAAAATAATGTACTTGGCATCTTTTACGTTTCACTATTTTAAGATTTAAATAACTTTTGATTTTTCAACATTTTCATTGATTATTATTAAAAAAATTATTTTTTATCACTACTTAATTTTTTAAAATTGAGGGAGTGTTTATATTAGCGGTGGGCAATCGGGTCCAGGAACCGCGAGTCGGAATCGGACCGCTAGGTTCGGTCCGGGTTAGGGTCGGGTCCTCTTTTCAAAAATTTCAAACGGTCCGGGTCGGTCTGGTCCTTATAGATTTTAGGGTCGGTCTGGTTCCCTATTTTGAAATTATTTTGGACCCGGACCGGACCATTTTTTAAATCTCAATATTATTTTTAATATTATTTTTAGTAAATATACGGATATACGGAAATATACCCGCCTAAGCCCTTCAATCTTTCGGTCCTTCCAATCGCAAACAGAAAAGTGAGAAAACTTTTCGTAGTCAGAGAGTCGGAACTCATGAAGATTGTGAATTTTGTTTTTTTTGGAACCCATTGACATTATAATGCCAAAATGTGGTTGTCTTCTTTTTTTTTGTTGTTGTTGGATAATCATGGGGTGTACATTTTATTCTCATGCCCCTCTTTGTCATTGTTTTATTTTCATTTACGCTTCTTTTTTTGTGTTGGATGACTTAAATTAATTTATTATCCCTTTATTTTTTTAATATTAGTATCATGATAGATTCGGACCCGTTGACCCGTAGAATCGGCATGTTTCAAACAAGCCAGGTTAGGTCCGACTTCAATTTTAAAATTTTGAAAACTCGTTCCGGCCCGGACCGTTTCAATAAAAACAAGCCGAGTCCGGTTTATAAAAATCTTGGCTCGGACCGGCCCGTGCCCACCCCTAGTTTATATACTCTCTCCATACTTTTTCAATCTTCATAGTTTGACTTTTAAGTTTTAAGGTTTATTCTTTAAAACTTTGCTTACAAACCACCAAAAAAATATATCAAATTGCGATATAAATTTATTATTAATAAATTCATTTCGAAACACAATTGAAATTAATGATCAGAAACCACTAAGTAGGCCGAGTGAGGGTCTGGTAAGGATAAGTAAGCAAATACCATATAATAGATCAAAGAGTGAAAGAATGTAATATAGGAGTATTATTAGTTTACATTCACAATTCTTTAACACTTTGGCATGAGAGTATTTATGCCGCAATTGACACTTATTTGTCGGTTGGCGATTGTCATTGGTGTATGGAACCTTGTGACTGCTCGTGATATTCCTTTGTCGTCTAGCTTGTGTCGTTAGCCGATGAAACCTTGCGGGTGTGCTCCCATTCGATGAATTCGTCCTTACATGCCCAAGTTGCAACAACCACTGCTCCCACATGTTCTGTGTCCTATGCCAGACACGGTGTAACCTCATGGGCTCTTTGGGGGGGGGGGGGGGGGGGG